AAAACATCTCGTCGAAATTACACAATTACTTCGCGCTAATCATTTCCATATTCTTATGGCCAATTTTTTTATTTATGCTGCTCCCAATGAATTGCGAAGTACCGAGAAGATAATACCAGGAATAGATTTCTACGCCTACTTTTCTTATCTTTAATCCCAGTCCATTAAAGAGACAGTATCTATCTCTGGGTAATCCTATTTCCAAAGTCGTCCGTAGCAAACTGACAGTATATAACGCGTTAACGATTTTCAATTCGCTTAGATTACCTCGTCGTGGTCTATTCGAAGTGCAGTTAGTTAAGTTCACGTTACGACGCGACGCGACGCGGTGAGGGGTGACGACCCGAACTCTCCGTGGTTGTTTCGCCCGATGAGAGATCGTAAGTGACCTGCTATCGACGCTGGCCCAGCCCGCGGGCGAATCCATACCCCGAACCTGTTTTCGCGGTTACCGTGCATTCTTCGAGTTTCGCGTCGCGCCTGGGTTATGGTCGGAACTCGTTCCTGGCATCCCAGTTTCTCTCCCCGTTTGCCATTTTCTGCGACGGCTTTTATCTATGCATAAGTACCCGCGCGTACCAAACTTCGTCGACGTAGATTTCCTTTGCGCGTTAATGCACTTTCGATGCCTTTTCGAGTTGTTTCGATGCAGATCACGAAGAACGAAGAAGTTGGTCCCCCGCGGGGAACAGGAAATTGTACCGTGAAGGAGAATATTTTACGCGAGGGGAGAATCCGATCTACGGATAACAAAAGACCGAGAAGTCGTTCGGTACGATTTCCGAAAGAAAAATTATCGTGAATCGGAAGTTGGGTAATAAGGATTTAATTGGAAATACGTGAATGAGTGGATATTAAATCTCTCCGAAGCAATTGAAATCTCGAGGAAAATCTCGGCGGTCGAGACGAACCGGGGAGTACCTTACCACTTTCGTTCACATAAGTCAGAAGTTTACTTACGCCGGCAGTCGGTGGCTTGAACTTTCCACGGGAATCACAAAGCTGGGTACCGTGGAAGTCAATAAAAGTTCCACTTACAGGAAGCGTTCCGCCGATAAACGTGGAACTGTTCAAGCCTCGATAAATTTCCCCGCGAAAATTATCCTGTTTACCGAGCGGATTCGTTCGAGACCTCTTCCCGTTCATGGAAAAATAACAAAATTTCACCGACAGCCGAGTCTCGTACGAAAACACAATCCGGTTCTTTGCCCTCTCTGTCTCTGTCCCTTGTTCTTTGCTGCTCTCTGCGGTATCGATTTTTCGCGAAAACCACGGGCGAAAGGTGGGTACGCGCGACGTAGCTACCGAAAGGTTATCAAACTTTCCGCCAGGGAAAACCGCGATAAAAGATAATCTATGACACGAAAACACGGGCTGCGGAACTAAATTCAACGATCCGCGTTGGCAATAATCGCCGGCTATCATTGCTCGTTTACCGCGGAGTCGTTCGCCGCGGTTATTTCGGGCCACGTAAAACCGCGGAGGATGTTCGCCCCTTGAGTAAGAAAATAATTTTCTTGTCAACAACACAAGCTCCGACGGAGGAGTAAACTGAACGGCACGCACAAACAACCCAAGAAATCCCATATCTGCGTAAGTGCGCGCCTTTAATAACTGCTATTACCTTTCGGAGTCTGCTTCTTATTAAAACTTAATTGCATATGAAGAACTTTCTGTTCTATTAATCATCATCGAGGAAGAGGAGAAGAGATTGAGTCAGGCGATAGATTTTAAGAAGATTAAGCGAGCCGAGATGCTCGAGTAAAACGCTTAGAATTCATGAGAAACAAAAATAATAGCAATGCCAACTAAAGTGCATATTGATTTTATTACTTAATAAGAAATATATATAAAATGTTTATTAATAATCTTTAAATACTTTCATATATTTAGCGTTCTGTTAGCATCAATTGGAAAGACAAATCCTACGCGAAAACTTAGGATTTATATAAACATTAAGCACTCCGTAAATTAAAGACAATGAGCATTACTTAGAACGGTACTCGCAAGAATCGAGTAGAACACATGTTTTATTACCTCATGAAAGTCAAAACGTTCAGCTTGCTGGAATATTGGATAGAATTTGTAGCATTTTTCGCTTACTATTGTCTCGCAATAAAACGTGATACGGAAGGTCCTTCGTAAAATATGCAGCGGGATAAACAGAACTTGAATTTTTTGCATTTCAAAAAAGGATCGTCTTGAATCTAATTAATATAAAATAAAATTGTTAGGTTTAATTAAACTACCAAAAATTTTGAATTTCTACTTTGCCGATGAGATCGTTTTTTTTTTGTACCGCAAAATTCCGGCCACGGTAAAAATTGAAAGAATTTTAATTGCCACTTCGCATTTTTCGATCTCCGAGCCACGCGCGAACGAGCAAATTGCTTTCCGTCGAACGTTAACTTGACAGAAACTGCGAACGAATGTGACGAATATTTCTTTTTTTTTTCTTGAATTAAAAAAAGAGTCGTACGCTACTCCGCTACCATTTTATTCTTGAAATTCCCTACGGTCTGATTGCGATCATTTCCCGCTGCACCCCTTTCTTCTTATTCCCTTCTTTTTTTTTATTTATCGAAAACACGTTTCCCGGAACGGCGGATGGGTGTTTTGAATAAAACGGCTGAACTCGTGTCAGTATTATCTGGTTCCCTTCTGGAAGAACGCACGTCGAGACTTCCAGTCGGACAACTTTATCTCCCCGTTCGCTTATTAACTGCGATTTTCGCTAACCGTGTATGCTCGACTTCTACTTGTTGTAGAGATCGCAAATGTCAGGCAAGATAAAAACGTCATGCTCACTTTTGTTTGACAGGGAGACCGGATTAAACATTTGGTAGTATCGGAATTTCCAATTTTGCCTTCTTATATAACTTTTAATCCTACAACCTATTCTTCTTAAATAAATAAACTTAACAATCGACACTTTCTTATTATCCGAATGTGAAATACACCTAACAATAAGAATGCAAATCATAAATCACAAAGCTGTAAAAAATATTCTTGTACGAGTCTTTTTTTACATAAATATTAATTTATTTAAAAAATGTTATTGCACGTGAACGCGCTGGTGAAGCGCTGACCCTAGTCATTTCATACTTGGTAAAATACCCAATTTACCGTGAAAGTTTTAGCCACGTGACAACAACTTAATTATTTTTGCCTGTCACCGGTGGCTAAGAGATGTAAAAAGCCAACCATGAAACGTCTGTCGTATTTAATTCGTTTTCCCTTAGTCGAGAACCCGACGACCCATTTCAATTTTACAGTCTGCTGTTATTCGTGTTGTAAAAAGAAGAGGTTAATTTATAACTAGTTAATTAATAACTGGTAATTTTGAAACGAGCATCCTCGGACAGCCAAGATAAAGCTCCCTCATTAAAATCGAGCAGATTTAAATAATTCCGCGAAGCCGATCAAAATTACGGGAAACGTACCGCGTAGAAGTTGGGAATTAAATGAAACCTCGTCCAACTTGTATTTGCTATTTCCCTCTTTTATATAAGCTTCATTAGAACGGATTTAACCATCAAAGCCGCCTCAATATTTTAATTGTAATGGATTTAGAACGAAGTTAAATAATATGTGAGAAAATCATTATTTTTATCATATTTGTTATAGGATGTTATAGAAACTTATAAGTTCAATATGATAATGTCTATTAACTGAAACTAAGCTGTGCGGTAATGAAACATGGAAACTCCAATCGTATAAAACCGAGATAAACGCGAGACATCTCTTTATGTACCAGATGAAAACTGAAAATTTCCTCGGTTCCCTCGAGCAGGTAAAATCGCGTTACTCCGAAATGAAAAAAATGCCGGGATAATATCTGCTAAGCCGATAGGATTAATAAAACAGAGCGAATGCGGATGTTGGCGGCGAGCGTTTAACCGGATCCCCTTTGTTTAAGACGAGATTCATTTTCTATGGAATTCATGCGGCTGCCGAGCATTATCGGGCGGGGTGTATCATCGCGCTTGCGATTAGTATAATAATGTTGATCGCGTGGCAGCTGCACCGTGAGAATCAGGTATGTCAATCGGGTTAGACAGGCATCGCTTGAAATTGAATATTTATGCCGGTGCAGAAACTCCGCTGATAATCAGACCGCCGAGTAATTGGCGACGTTGCTGCTCAAAGTGAAGCTGCTGGGCACGAAACGCAGAGAGAGGCGCACCTCCGCTCTCAATTTTATACACTTATGCCTCCGTGATCCTCAGAATTGCTTTTCAACAATTTTCCGTTCGGCTGCATATCAATTTTGCATCTTTTGATTTAAAGGAGTGAATACATTTCTCTGAACATTGCATACCGGGAAATGACATCGGACAAAGCTGTATCAATGTACACTGCGTTTGATCGTGGCCATTGGAACGATGAAAGGAATTAGTGTGTCCATTATTTTATAATTAAAATAGTTTTGTTGCCCGACGTGAAATGAAATTAGCGTTGTCCCGCGGGGTGATTAATTGCCCGCGCGCGCGATAATTTTCAAAGTACAAGGGGGAGAGCACTTCGCGCGAACACGTGAATGTAATTCGGCTCGTGAAGCCAGGAGTGTTAATTAACTGTCTATCTATCGTCCACTGCTAAGTGTTCTCAAGTGTGTATGATTATGAACGTATTATGACGTTACAATCAACGGCTGACTAATGTCGCATCATGAATATTAATAATCCATTCACGTCCCATTCGTCTCGTGAAAGTATCCTGTCTCATTCGATTTGACGATCATTAGCCGGCGTAAATAAAAAAAAGACAATCTCTCTATTGACTGTCAACTCATAAACAACAAATAAAACTCTATTTCTATATATTGCACGAAATATATTTGGTATCTTCTATTAAGATATTAATTAATGATTCTCAATAATTAATAATCTGATTCTCAATAATTAATAATCAAGACTTCGATGCTGTTTTCAGCTTTTAATGCACTGGTTCTGCACGGTGAAAACTATTCGGTAACGATCGGTCTGGTTGTTTTTTAGTTTTGGTCCGCCTACGTTCCATGCGGCGCGGCGCAGCTGAATGCAGTTCAACTTTCCTTGGAGCAGATCGACGTGATCCGCCGGCTCGCCGAGATGAATGCTCAACATTTAACTTTGGTTACCTCCGTCAAAGGTAAGCCGTTCCGATCTGAATTCGCGATCAGTTTTTAATTACAAACCGTTGGCTCAGAAAATCTATCTATTGTTTTATTGAAGATTGTTTTTTCGATCGTGCCTTAATTCCATTTGTTTCACAAACGTAGCGCGAACCGATTACCCTCTTGACGCGACGTTCATCCCTCTACGATTGATGAGATCTAAATGAATGAAATCGTCTCACAGGAGCCAAAGGAAATAATTTCATTAATTGCCTCGTTCACATTTTCCCTATTATCTTGATACTCCAGCATCAATTCAGCATCTCATATTAAACTATAATGGACGCGTTCTATGAAAGAGTGGACCACATAATCGAACAGAATTTGTGCAAGTTCATATTGATTCAGTATCAGTTTAATAATGTGCTATTGAGAATTGGGAATTTTTAATCAATATTACTGTTATACGTCTACATATCGTATATTGGCAGACTTGGTATAATGCGTAAGACGTACAAGATTAAGAAGATTAAAATTAACACGTTCGTTCGACAGCCATTTTAGTATACTGCATGTGCTATTGCAATTTATTTCCCTCATATATTGTGTCAAAAATTGAGATCTCTCGAGAGTAGGTGAACGAAACAGGAAGTAAAGCTTTGGGGAAGATTACAATAGGGAACATCAAGGTGTACGTAATGGTTGCGGCAATATTTATCAGACGCGATTCCCCAAGGTTGCTGTAGAGATAAAAAATGCAGCTGGATACTGCCGAGAAGCAGGGAAAGGCCGAGACTTACGTTCTGGGAAAGAACAATGCATTACCACGGATTTCAAAGGAGTATAGCATGCAATTTATAATTCTGCATTTCACAAAAGCCAAATGGTGAAATAAAGTAACGATGATTCTTCTTCTGTCGTTACTTATTACTTATTACGTGTTATTTATTATTGCCTGAATTACAAATTCGAAGGCCTATGAAAATTCCTTCGTCTATAAAATTATACTAAATCTTCTTATTCTATTTCTACATTTCTGTACCATGAAAGGAAAAAAATATTATTTACATTACTAAAACTATAGATGCAATTCAATTCGACTATTTTATAAAATTTGCAAATAAAATGAATAATTTAATGAGACCTGCAATAAGGGACGGGCGATAAACACTAACAAAGTAGATTTTCAATAGGATGTTGCTGCTTGTTCCACTGGTAATTAGATTGCTAGAATGGCGTACCAACTGCGAATAACAATGAATGCAACAGAAACGGCAGAACCTGGCAGGAAGTTTGCTCTCGAGGAAACTCGTGGAGACAAAGGGGACCTAGTATTAATTGCTCGATTTCTCTGAAGCAGTATCATTCAAGAGGAAAGTAATTATTGGTTCTAACTTGATAACACCATTTCATGCTGTCGTAACTTCACCGACGGCTGCGAAAAATGTTTGCTTATCGGCGGCTAGTTAATCGATAGAAATTGTCCTCGCGCTTCACTGCCTCCCCCGCGTGTTTTCGTTCGGTCAACGGATAAAGTGGTACAATCAATTATTGCAAGCAAAACTCCTATTTAACCTTTGCTGTGCCATTTAGCTCGGAAAAATTCGGACCCTGTGCATTCCCAGGTCGTTTCTCGCCGCTTCTTATGATTATAGCAAACGTTGCACATTCTCGTTGGACGATTATGACCACGAATTTGAGTAACAAGTAAGGGGTTAAAGAACGTAGTTAATTTTTTAAATTAGGTAACAAACATCCTCGATGTGCAATGATACAGAAAATGTTCGTTCGATCGGACACTTTCCACAAATGCAAAATTATTCCTTCGGTAACGAGTTGGAACATTCTCCGAGTCGAACCCGAAGGAAGAAGATAAGAGCGAAAGACAAAAAGAAACGAGGGGAACGAAGGAGTCCATAACTCGTGACGGAGCTTGTAAAAGTTTTGGCGACAAGTAACCAGCGTCGGAAAGCTGTCAGCCATTTTCATAAGCTCAAGGAACTCCGACGACCAGGAAACCGAATCGAGGTCGCGAAAGGAACACCCGACACGACGGAAAGTTACGGAAAGAACTTTTCACTTGTCTTTTGAGCCTCTACATGCATTTCGTTGAACTCTTGCACGATGTCAAACAGCTCGACGCGGAAACCATTACCCGGAAAACGAAACGGGAATAACACTGAATTAAATGAAACTAGAAGCTCCCCGGAGAACTCCTCGACCTTAAAGCTGCGTGAAACTCATGCGTTTGAGATCATTCTGCTGTTCTTGACTTGACGAGCTTTATACGAATTCCTTTGTAGGTAAGGTAAAATTACAAGGAAACTGAATTTCCTACGTATTTTCTTAAATTATAATCAGAATCGTTGTTGTGTACAAAGAAGACTGATGGCCACACGGATGGAATTTATATACGTGAACTATGATTAATAAAAAAAGGAAACTATTTTGATATTTAGATTATGTATTGTAAATGAACAGTAAGAGAAATTATATTTCGACTCGAACTCGGTGCAACAAATATAAAGGAAAGATCGCGTTATGCACGCGCCGTTGCGGAAAAATGAGAGGAAGACGCAAGTGGAAGAGTCGAGCCAGCGCGGCGCGTGGTATAGTGAACGCCTCCTTGTTGTAAAACTTCTCACGACAAGTAACCCGCTCCAGAAAGCTGTCAGCCATTTTCATAAGCTCGAGAAACTCCGCCAAGTGGGAAACCGAAACGAGGTCGTGAAAGGAAAGGACCAGTAGGTGGAAAAGGCACCGTCTCGCGTAGAAACCGGTGTTTGAAGTCCGCGAAACTACTCGCATGACCGATCGACATGATGCTTGAAATTAAAGCAGGGACAAAAGATACGATTGAATAAAATTACATTGACCAATTCGAAAATCTTTGTTATTTGTCAAGTTACGAATAAAATTTATTAATTATACATGGAGATTTATTTTTATACCTTCACTATTTTTCCAAGAAACGATACTTTTATATAAATATCTGTGTGACAATAATATAACAGAGGTACGATAATAGAATAAGAATTGTTGATTGAAAAAGGGATTGATTTTTTATGCTCTCGTACCAAGCAGCAGGATTCTATTTTACCATGCATTTACGTCAGCTTTCAGTTTCTCCTCTGGTATTATAAAATATGAGGAATATTTCTGAAACACTGCACTCAAGGCAATAGTCGTCTCTTAAAAAAAGAAAAGGAAATCTTTCACGGAAAGACGTAGGGATTGCGTTTCTTTTATCCAATTGTAATGATTTTTCTCTGAGAAAAGTCGTCTGTGCGAATGCATTATTAATCACACATCAACTTATATTTTCAAGTCATACTTGGTCCCTACTAATATATGTATAACTTTTATCGTAAATATATAAATTCCATTTTAGTTACGACATTGCTTGAAAAACTTATCAGCAGTCAATGCAAATGAGAACCAAGATGTTAATTGTTAAAAGAGATGTAAGTAATTCATGAGAAAGCAAACTTCTAGAATCGATGACTCGATTGAAGAGGAAAGGTGTTGAATGATTTAAGTACTTATGGATCCTTCAGTTGATTTGAATAAGTCCGGTCTCGTTCAACTTGTACGATGCAATCTCCTTATTCCCGACCTCTGATAAATTTTTCGACGACCTAAAACCTAATTCCTATCGATAATTATAATTACGAGAATTTATTCAATATTTCTAATTGAATTTTGAATAGCACCCTTTATTCTTTTAACCATATCTATTATCTAAGCCATCATAATTTATTCAGCCAGTGTGTACTATATATATTCTCATTTGTATAATAAGACAGTTATTCCGCTTATTATAATTTCGTGTGCGTAGGTCTTATCGAGGCGCATCGAGAAGGCAAAATCGCGAGTCTTATAGGGGTCGAAGGTGGTCATTCCCTAGGGAATTCCTTGGGTGTTCTCAGGACATTTTACGGCCTGGGCGCGAGATACCTTACCCTAACGCATGCTTGCGATACTTCCTGGTGAGTACATTCCAAACCACTTTTTGAGACGTCAAGAATGTGGGTGTAAACTCATAAATAAAAAGTGAGCAAGAATGAAGTACGACAATTTCGTTGAGAATCGACATAATACATAAATTAATCCGAATTTAAATGAAAATGAACTGAAATTGATGAGCTAAATTGAATTGTAGAATTATAACAACATAACGTTCTGGTTAACTAATCGTCGTCACTGACTATATGAATTTTTAATTATCTCGTTATTTTCTATGGTTCTGGTTTGTTAATTAACTCATCGAAATATATTTAATATACGGTGCAGCTCGCGATGAATCGACATTTAGTCCAGAAACCAGAACGTCGAACAATTTAATTACCAACCGAATTACGAACCCGACACCGTACCGAAATATTGCTATCGCAAACGGTAAATTATTTATTTTGGTTCATCACACTTATTTACATTAACAATGCTTTGAAGATACATAGTATGAATATTAAAAATATAATGATTTCAAAAGATTGCATACTTATATTAAACACCTACATTTAAGATCTCAAGCAATGAAGGTTTAATTTGGAAATAAAATGAGTGCTCGAAATTTTTGCATAAACTTTGGCACTTAAAAACTGGCGCATCGGCCCGATTTCGTATAAAGCATTCCGTGGCCAAGGGAGATTTCTCGGTTTCAATTAATCGGGCAACGAAACTTCCACCGTTTCGCTCTTTCACCGAGTAAGTAGAAGTAGGTACTTTTTATCCAGACCCGTTCCGTCCCGCTTTGTACCGTGATCCATCGCGGAAGAAAAACCTATCCCACGGCCGATCAGCCTGAAAGAGCTCGAAGCAATCTAAAACGTTGGCGCACAGAAAATTCCCTCCATCTCAGCGATTTCAGTACCCTGCCAAAACCTACACTTACGTCTTACGTTCGAAGAAATGAACGACCAAAGAACTTTGTTTCGAAACGAAACGAAACGAAACGAAGGAACTTTTCTTCAATCCGACAATCGTGGCCAAGTCGATTCCCTATACCGATCCTGTTCCTCGTCACGGGATGAAAATTCACGGAACCATTCGTTACGTCTCACGAGCGAAAAGTCGAACGGAAGCTATTCGACTTGTCCAATCGTAAGGACTTCACGATCTGTCAAACAAACGTGTCGAATCACGATAAAAAAAAATACATCGAATTAGGACAATTGAATATGGGACGCGATGATAAAAAGAAGGTGACTTGCTAATCTAAATTCACGGAGGGGTTCCGGCTTTTCGTGGCGTGGTATGAATGGGCTGGAAAATTCCCCGAAAAAATCCGGGAATCGCTGTACGTTCGATAACCAGTCTCTTTTACGTGAGGTTGATCTCTCGCGAGGAATTTTCTTTCACTACCCGTTGCATTGAGAAAGTTTCGTGCGGTTTCCTTTTCGCCCGCTATATTTCAACGGAATTCCCGAGATTCGCCGTATGGTTCAATCTACGGAAACCCGATCCGTAGCCCCGAAATCGCAGCGACTCGGACTTCCGGAGAAACATGGTACTGTCAGTGAAATAATGTCGAAACGCGGTGGAAATGTGAGTTCCTTGAGACAAGTTTTATGCGTCCCATGGTGGCCGTACGCTCTGTACCGTGCCGTTGTAAACAGAGCTTTACTTTATGCATCTCTTCAATTCCGTCGGCTTCTAGCGCGGTAAACATCTGCGAGGAACGTCCTGAATCTTTACTTCAGCTAGTCGTATTGCAGCTTAGAAACGCGCAGTAATATTAAATTACATAAGGAATGAAATTACTCGATTTATTATTAAAGCAGTAGCCTCAGTACAGACAGACATGTAACTTTAATCTTCCAATGACTCAGAGTACTCAGTAATTGCTATGCTTGTCGAGTAAAAAATTCAATAAGCATGAACATTACGGTCGGAGTGGTTCGAGGAGCCGAAATCTGAAATCGCATCGAGCGGTAGGAAACGGGGAAATAACAAATTCTTTTCAGATATCAGATACGACGCCATTAAGCATCAATTTTACAGAGAACACTCCTCCCGCAGCGGTTCACCGAGAGCCCGGGAGCCTTAAAGCGCGTCCGCAACACGACCTACATACTTTCCGCATCGAAAGCTCGCCATTAAATCGGAATAATTCCATGAACACCGTCACAAAGCCGGAATTTATACTCTCAGGAGTTTCCACTAGGGATGACCCCGACGCGGCAGCGCGGCGCGCCGTATCCGTCCGATGCGATCGTGAATACGAACGTACGACACGGTGTATGGCAGACATCGTTGCCCGTAACTAACGTTCCCAGTCCAAAGTATCAGACGACAATGGCCGTCGACCTGATTCAGCCTGCTTTTCAATCCTTGCCTACTTTGTGCGTCCCTCGACGCCGTACCTAGCGCGGCCCGTAAATAAGAGACCTGAGTCACGCTGTCCTCGAACAAATCCCTCTTTCGATGCTACATATTCCTCTTTTCAACCCTCTCGCCTAATACGCCTCAGCTTCCCAGCGCACGAGGTGTCGCAGAATAAGGAAAAGTAAATACACATCCGCACGTAATGGAATTCAGATCGTAGGACAAATTTCGGTGTGCATAACAAAGTTCGGAGCTACCCTGCCCTACAAATTATGTGTCTAAGTAATTTGTACTTTTTAATTCTTCTTTGAAATACATTGCCACTGAAAAGTATCTAAACACTTGCTTGACTATAAAAAATAATCTACAAGAAGTAATGAAATAGTTAATGAATTTTATTAAATTTCGTACTTTTTACTGTACTAGCTAGGAAATATATTAGGTCAACATTTCATTATCTTATCAATGACAATAATAAAT